CTGCTGCTACCTCTGCTACTTAGACTTTGCTGATGCTTCTTCTGGCAGAAAGTCAAATGGTGACTGGACTGCCCATGATTGCCATGCCTTCACCGGCCACTGGCTCTCTGATGGACATCATGGTCAGGGACCCCTATTATATTCTACGCTTTTGGACATTACTCTGGAGGCAACATGGCATCGCATGGCTATAACACAGCCCAATGCTCTTGGCCTTTTAGGAGTTGACGTTAACACTGTTTGTTGAGGTGACAAACCTTGGATGGGGGGGTGATGTAAGATGACTAGTTCCTTATAGGGACATGTCCATTTTAGCTTGGCTTAGTTTGGTATGCTCAGCATTCTTTTATCTGTTATCTGGACTGCTTGGCATTCCCTTATTCCCTTTTGCCAGTATTAGTTGTCTTTCCAAAATCACTTACAAGAAAATACCAAAAATAAGGACATCTGTCTAATTATAGATTTTCTAGTTCTTGAACATGTTCCTTGGTGCCAGTTCCCAGCACCTTCTTTCTATGTCAATGTAGATGGTACTACATACATATGCACTCTACTCACTCCTGACAGCATTAGCACAGCACCAATAGCTGACAGCTTCAAAGCTAACATGCCTAAATGCAAGACAGTACAGATGAAGAAAAAGTATAAGCTGATCACCTTGAAAATAAAAGCTGTGGCTGGCATAGTACCAGAAGACTTTTGTATGGAAAGAAATATAAAAGGAGACCCTCTAGCCAACATGCTGACACTGAACCCCAACCCCCCTTCATTTATCCTGACAGGACATTTTACAGAGGAGAAGAAAAATCAACTCCTTAAGAAACATGTCACAGGTTTTCTCCATGCTGACAAGCTAAAAATTTTAGTAGATTTGGTTACTAAGTAAAACCAGGCACTTGTCTAGGAAGTGGAAGAAAAATACTATTTCAATCCCAACTACTTCTCACTCATTATCTTCCTGACAATACTGCACATACCTTGACAAGAACACAGCCAACCAATCTCTTCAGCTCTTGAAAATTAATGCAGCCGTCTACAAATCCTCAAATTCATCATATTGCTTGTGATAGTTTTGTGTCCTAAAGAAAAATGGAAAGCTATGTATTATTCATAGTCTAGAGCTGCTCTGTAATCATATTAGCAAAGTCCATGTGTTTTTGGGCACTCTTGGCATTCTACACATTTTCATCAAAAATTTTATACATAGAGCCCACCACATCCAAAACTAACATGCAAGGATATTCCTATTGAATTTGGGGAACTGTAGATAGCTGCCCAGAAAGACCTGGTACAAGTGCTAAAGAAGCAGAACCTGTAGTATCACTGGATTACACATCTCCTGATCCCATTGTTCTCACTGTTGATACCTCATATATCACTATTGGCTATTTCTTATGCCAAGTCACTAGTAAAAACTGCAAAAGCCAATGATACAACTGATTTTGATCTATAATGCTAAATGACAGAGAATCCTGCTACAGCCAACCAAAGCTAAAGCTATATGGATTATTCAGAGCATTACAGGTGACCAAAATTTATGTTATTGGTGTCAGCAACCTTGTTGCAGAAGTTGATGCATGCTACATCAAGGATATGATATTAAACCCTAATATGCAGCTGTCAGCTAACCATCAATCAATGGATAGTGGGTATCTTGATGTTCCACTTTGAATTGGTTCATGTCAAAGGAGTTTTCCATGGTCCAGATGGCTTGTTCCACCATTCATGTCAGCCTGACAGTCCAGATTCAAACAACAGTGACAATGAAATAAATCTATGAAGATTGGATAGACAGGATATACAGTTTCATGCACCAAATAGAGCCACTCCCTCCATTTATTTGTCTAAATGCATCTTAAAACTCACTGCTTCCTGCCATAATCCCCTATTTTCCAAAACAACAGCTGACCATTTATCAATTCACTAGCACCAGAATCTTGATGACAGGGGAAGCAGACAATGATGATAGTGATGAGGAGCCAGAACAATGTTTAGATAATTTGAAGAGTCTGAAGAGCTTTGCAATGATAACCAAACACTAACCTATGACATAATACTACAAAGTGCCAAGGCTAAAGCTGAAGAAAACACCTAAGAAAAGTAAACAATGGCTAAACAACATAAGAAGACCATTTAGTTGATTTGGATGATAAAGAATATTCAAAGTTCATATGTTACACAACAAATTTCTTTTCCAACCACAGTTGCCTATGGAAATGAGATCACTCTGGTGCCTACAAACTAGTAGCCAATCCAGACAGCAAATCACTCAATGGGTGGAGAATATCATGCACTTGCAACTGATTCTCAGTACATTCAAACAGACACAAACATATTTTACAATGGCCATTCTTGATGACTTCTGCCTCACAAATCTAAAGTGCAAAGCATCCGGCTATCAGTATTGGCAGAAGATTGCCAGAATCACTTCTCCTATTGCTTTTGCTGATGAGGTGAATAATCTTTATCATGAACTTTGACAACTTTCTTATTCATGGCAGTGGTTAAAAAATTAAAGTGGGCAGGTTTTGGTCATGATGAAACAAAAGAAACTATGGCTCCTGAACATAGTGAACTGGCCATATTCTGTCCAGCCTGTCCTCATCCAGGAGTGAATCTTCCATCAAACTGTGAAAATGATCCATCACAGTGAAAATTCAATCATTCATCAATAATGGATGGGAATTTCAAAGCAGATCATGTTTGCCATCGGAACCCAGCACACAATGTATGGCTTTCTGTGAGAGATGAAGTGATGGCAAAAAGGAATGAACTTGAAGACTATCTCAGACATGCCAAGGATAAACCCATGGTGAGTGAATGAATTTATGATGAATGGATGTATTAAAAAAAAGGGTGAAATTCTAACAGCTTTCACTTCTGTTTGTCAGCTTCATTCATCAGAACAAAATAGATGAAATTTGATTCTGCTGGCAGTCATCTCTGCTGATCAGACTCCATCCTTCCATTTTATCTGTCTTGGTTGATTGCTCACATCTTTATTTTACCAGCAAGTTCCATGTGAAAACCTATTCAAAGCAATCAAATGAGCCCTCATGATCAATAAATCATGTGATATTACTGGTATTGTTGCAACTGCATGTCCCTGCCATGGCTGCTTTGCTTCTAACAGTGTCACCAACTTAACCTGTGGTGAAGGCCAAGTTTACAGACTTTTCTGTCACACATGCTGTGAAAACAATGAATATGGATCAAATCAAACAACTCTTGCTGGTATATGATATTGCTTGTTACTGGTGTATTCAATTCTTAGAGTGATCGGCAGAAGCTGAGGAAGCTTTACTAGATGGTCTAGTAGTTGACTATGCAATTGGCCTTCTCCATATCCATGGACACCAAGAAGATTGCTTTTTCTCCTTTGTTCCATCCTTTATCCCTGGAACTGGCCATCTAGCTGAGGAAATAATTGAAAGCCTTTGGTCTACACTGAATGAGAAGGTTTCACAGATGGCTTAGACTGCAACTCTTGCACATCAGGCAGAAATACTTGATGATCATATGTGTGATTCTGCCTGGAAGAAGCTGCTTGATATGGTTTCCTTCCTATGTCAAAAATATCAGATGACTGTTCAAATGCAAGGGGCAGCTGTTTAATATTTCATTGAAAGGTCAAGGAGAATAGCACCAGAACTGATATCAAGCTGGGAGGAGGGAATCACTAATGTGGAAATGATCCACACTGAAAATACCAAGGTAATGGACATCCTAAAGGCATAGAATGCTGCAATGAGTTATCAAGGGGAGTTGATATTCAATGACAGCTGGTAGACAGATTCTGGAGAGCAGACTATGGATAATGATTTGTTCTGGTTACAACTGGCCCTTGACATTGAAGAACAGCAGTAAGTGGATTAAGATTGATGCACTGCTAGACATAGCTGAAGCATAAATTGGAATTGCCTTACAAGATCAGGTCCATCACCTAGCCTCAATGAACAAAGAAAGATGAATGGCAAAAGATTGAAGCAGAAAGGGAATTATTGAGAGCACAGCTCAATATCCTAGTGGCCTCACAGGCAAGGAGTGGATATACTCCCACCACATGTAGGACTGCACCTCTGGAGCCTGACAAAGTTGCTAGGACATTTGATGATAATGAACTGGTGAACAGAAATATCCATGTAGTGGATCATCCAATAGAACTGGATGTTGTTGCACCAGAAGAGTTTTAAATCTGCTTTCCATCCACAACTGTGAGTGATGTCTCACAATTCTCCATGTTGAAGTGGTATCTGTGGAAACTACAAATTGAAAGGCACTTGCAAGCTCTGCATGAGCTCATTGCAGAAAAATTGTTCATGTATTTTCATGTTGTTTAGGTTGCTCCTAGCAAGGTGGTAAGAACTAGAGCTTGAGCATCAATCCTTAAATTCCAAGCCTCAATCTCTTTGAAAGCCCATGCCTATGGGGAATGCCATGCTGTCTGTGCTTATGAGACTGAGACATGATCCACTGTCATGTGCTCAAAACAGTTGATTTTGTTGTAGTTTTTGTCTGCATTTGCTCAGTACCACATTTGAGCTTGCAACCTCTTTTGAGTCTCTGTCACTTAAGTTTCATTCTGCTTATTCAAAATGGCTTCTCATTCTGCTGCACCAGCTGGCTCTGCAGTTTCTACCCTGCAGGAGATAACTTGCTACTGTGACTGTTCATCCTTGTTGATCTCATAAAGCAAACAAGACCACAGAGCACTTATTCATTCATTCAAATCTTTCAGGCCTTTGCATCAATCCCACAGATCCATTTGATACCACACCAATGACTGGGATTTCAATCCTGATCCTGATTATGAATACAAGTTATTGGAAAGTATAAAGCCCACCACCAATGTACATAGCTTGAAACCAAAGTCAAAATCAAAGTGTATATCCTTGTGTTCATACATGCCATGCTGAAGCTCCCCATCCAAATACCTCCTCTCCTCCCTAATGTTAACCCCTGAGTCTATGCCACACAAACTAACATATGCCTCAAGAATGGCCAATGTGGCTTAATGGTAGAGCATTACTTTCTTATCATCTTCTGACCAGATATGAGATAGCTATAGGTGAAGGTTGTGGGTTCAATCCCTGTTGTTGATTCTGCTATTGAATGTGAGCTTTTTGTTTCTCTTTTTTATTTTTATAAAGGCTGGGTGGGTCTTACAGATCTTTAATGCTATGCCACACATTTGATATTGTAGCCAGTCATTGAGATTCAGATTAAACATTGAATATACAAAATTTTGAGTTCAATAGCATTCAATGACATGCATACAACATGTACAAAATACAGTATAACTAACTAACTAACTAGACTAATGTATTCCATCTCACTCATTGTCTATAGGTCTTGTTATGTAGAAATTTTGATATGACAGGGTGCTTGATGATCTATCTGTGGGTCAGCATTAGAGAAATTGGATAGAGAGGGACAAACAGCAAGGCAGTAAACAACAATGCAGTTGTTGTACTTGACAAAGTGGGTGGAGATGGCAACAGTGATTGGGATGAGGATGGAGCAGTGGTAGTTGATGGAGGGATGCTGGCAGATGTGACAACTGCAGAGGTGCCTACAGTTGTGAAAGTTGGCCTGGGAAAGGGAGTTTGGCATGGTAAAAAACATCTACACTGCATTCTGTGCTGTCCAGGCCTTGATGATCATGACATCCAGAATGATCACCACCTGTTGTTCAGTGTTATAGTCCTCCATCATTCCACTCCACAATCATGCACCTGCACAGGTATGTGGCCTTTCAATATTATATTCCACACCCTAGTGTAAGCCTACTTACTGCTTCAGCTCTGATCCTAATTATTTTTCCTTTGCTTTGAAAGAATTCAGACACCATTCTTGATAGAAGGAGAGGCTAACCACCTATTTACACAATCTTTGTCCTTGTCTTCTGATGATTTATCAAGTCTTCTTGCTTGACATGGAGCAAATCTGACTTTCACCTGGATTTTTGAACCCTTTCTGTGACTTGGTATTTCCTTGTGAGATCTCACTATCTTGCATAGGCTGGGAGGCAATCAGGATCACTAGGGTTTTGTTTTGTATTGCATGGATCATAAACTGTTATGTGTATAAAAATAGAATTTCTGCAACTAGTTTTGTGCTGCTAGAGACAAAACACAGATAGCTAAAGGATAAAAATCCCAAGGCAAAGTCTATGCCCCTCACAACAAAAAAGAGGAATGTGCACTACTAGTAATGCACCAAGTAGATATTTGTCTGATCTGGAACTGTTATTAAATCTACACACTAGCAGAAAAGAAGCTTCTACTATAAACACCTAACAAACCTTTGTTACCTGTCAGACTCTAACCATGGAACTGTTGACAAAACAAAGATGCCCCTGTCTACAAGCAGAACATACTAAGGCCAATTGAAGTCTTGCATTTCCTGCATAAAATGGAGACTTTGTTTGAACATGCTGATATAACAGACATAGAAGAAGAATAGGATAGTTGAATATGTAGATTCAGAAACTGAGCAGGAATGGCTAGGTTTTGACTCTTTCAAAGCTAGTAAAGCCATATATGGTTCAGATTTCAAGTCGTCCTCATGAAATTGCTGTCAATAAGAACCCTAGTTTAGACACAGAACTTTAGTCTTTTCCACCAGGTTTTCCTTTTTATTGCTTACTGTTGGGCACTCCATTGCTTGTGTGACCATTATTCTGAAGCACATACCTTCATGTGTTATTTCTTGGAGTTGTCTCTTGCTTCTTTTTGCCCACTTGCCCAGACCAATGATCTGGAGAATAGATGCTCACTGTGTTTCTGGTGGTGCATCTGGCAAAGCTAGACTAAGAAGCTGTTGTGTTTGGAGGAATCACTCACATAGAAAACTAAGAATATGTCCTCCTTCCAGTGAATCTCATAATTTGCCAGCTAAATTGTTATAATTAGTCTTCTGCTCTGGATATGATATTTGTAGGAGAGCAAAAAAGGCATACTTTGTTAACAGCATCATCAAGGGGTTTGTATGCTTGCCATATAAGTGAAAAGGAAATAACAGAGGGATGACCAGAGGATGGGGCTGTTTTATAAACATAGTCTAATCCAGCAATCCTAGATTACAGGCCTAAATAATCAGCGATATAGAAAACTTTTAAAGTTCACTTACATAGTAGAAGTTGAACCATAGCTATCATAACAAGGAAGTTAGAGGCTCTAAATAGCAAAAAAGCTGAAAAGACAATAAAATCTCACCTAGTATTAATCACTACCTTGACTGCAATAATATTGGCTTTTTTTTGCAACATCATATGTAGCACCAGCTGCAAGTCCACTTTTCTACAATTAGAAGTGAGAGGGTTGGTTCAAGGCTCAAAAACCTATGCACAAAAGGTTGCATGACCATACTCATCTACCTTATCTTTGCCAATATCTGTTATGTTATTCCCTATCTTGCACTCTGCCAAAGTCAGCCTAAAATAATACTAAGTAAAACATAGAGAAGTAGTCAATTATGGAAACTTACATGGTTAAGATAGACACCTTTTCAAATTATGAAGTAAAAACAGTACTTTATAGGTCAAAGAAAGTTTTACCTGAATCTAGACAAAGTGTGAAAAAATCAAATTTGATAATTTTTATTAAAAACACACCAACAACATATGTATCAGATAATTCACCTGCTCAGACATGATAGAATGTGAAATCAGCTGCACTGGATAACACAATATGAGTTAATTGAACTATTTGAATATTAATAATACATATATAACATTTGTATATTTAAGCTGGGCTTTAGAACTTAAGCATACAAGTCCCCCTGTGGCATTAGTTCTAATCTTAATATGTTTGCTATTAGTCAGTTATGAACAGAGAAAAAGAATAAACTAAATTGCTGTGGGATTGTAATGAGCATGTGCAGAGTATCATGTGCTCTTATTATTTTATTATTTTACTATATCAATCTTATCTTATCATATCTTGATGTGCAAAGTGGCACTTGTAAATAATTATTATATTATATAATTTTTTAGCTTTTTGGTTATAACACATACATAGTCAATAACTACAGACTAGTTTTGATTCTGTTGTGTGCCCATAAGCACTGAGTTCTGAGTAATGTAACTACATTACATTTTTTTGAATCAACCAGCCTTGGTTGTTCTCAGCTATTGGATCTCAGCTCTCAGCTATCAAAAATCAACTCTCTGCTTCTTTCAATCAAACTTTGCTGCTTTGCATATAGCCACCTCCATCTTGAAACACTATCTAGATGTTTTGACACCTGATGATCCATCTGGAGACTTAAGTGAGGCAGATGCATCCATGCAAGCATCTCAGCAACCTGGGGTCTTGAAATATACACCTCTGTCTAAGAGGATGGTTGCCTGGGAAGATGATTTTAAAACAGCCTGTAATGACAGGTTTGGCATGCCAAAGGAGTGTCAGTAGCACAAATGCTGAATTATCATGCAACCCACTGCTAATAAGATGACTGACCAGTTGGCCCAACCATGTTTCACTATGCCAGTGAGCCAGCTGCAGCTCATGTTAAAGGTAGTTCTACCTAAAAACAGACCTGAGAATACCAGCCAGTTTATGGACTTAGTGTTTACCATTCAAAGCTGCTCAGCCAAAACAGTCAAGCAAAGCTGCAGTTATGTCTGTAGATATAGGGGAGTATCAAACCATTATGCAAGAGGGGCACTGTCAGGGGATCTATCTCTCTCCACCTTTCACCTCTCTGCTTTGCTATGATTTTCCTTTATTCTCCTTCTTTAGCCCTCCCTTTTGGCCCTACTTTCAGCCCTTTAGCCTCAATCCTACTCTGTTAATAGTTCAAACAAGTTCCCAGCCTGGCGGATCTGAAGGGGGTTTCCTACAGAGTTCCTACAGAGTTCCTAGATGGCAAGGCCAAGGTATGGTTTCACTGCAATGTTTTACACATCAAGTGATTGGTTGAGGACTGGTGATTCAAGGACATTCTAATTGGACTGTAAAATTGCTTTGTGAGCCCCATTTTGCATAGCCATCTACAAAGAAACAATGGGCATACAAGGCTTTTACAATATGTTACATAGTCATGCACAGGACATGGTGGTCTATCCAGACCCTTATATGATCTGCCAGGCATTTGTGAATGGCATTCCATCCAAAATGCACAGATCCTTGTTCTATGAGAATAATCTCTTGCCAGAGATTGACACAGTGGAAGAATTCTTGGTGCATGCCATTTAGTATGAGCTGTCCACTTGCACAACAAGTCATTACAAGCAGCATAGCTTGAGGAGACAGGCAATGAATGGTCAAAGAATGGCTAAAGTTGGCACATTTTTGGCCAAGAAGTTGGAAATAGCAAGCAATCATAATCTACAATTTGTTGTTTGCAAGATGAATAAACTGGTCAGTAGGCTTGATCATTGAATTACTGGAAGCAAGCTAGTATATCACCCATTTCAGCCAGCTGGAATTGTTCAGCTCCCAGTTTTTCAATAACAAAACAGCCATCCCACTGATTGAGGTGGTGATATGTCAAACTGGTTGGAAAGCTGGCCATGGATAAGGAAGGATGCTTCACATGTGAAAGCATGGACTACTGGTCAAAGAATTGCTCAAAGAATGGCAGAAAAAAGGTGTACATCCAAGCAGCTCATACCACTGTGGAGAATACAGACAGTGAGCCTGAGGAAGGGGATGGAGGTGATGAAGAAGGGGCAGAGGTTGACAATGACTCAGTTGAGGGACCAGAGGTTTTGGTTGAGCATTCTATTCAATGGTGAAGAATACATCATTGTTGATGTCTACAACAATGACTACTATAGTTGTGATAGTGACTTAGAACACATGGTAGCAATGATGGAGGCTTCTGGAAAGGCAGAACAAACAGTGGGAGACTGTCATGTATGCATGTCATGGACAATATTAAAGAAGGCAGCAATGAGATTGGAATGCCCCATATTGAGATGAGAAGCTAAGGAGTGCTTAGTGACATACATTGATGTCAAGAGCCACCCTGCTTGGACATTATGGGACTTTGGCAGTACCAAGAAGGCAATAATGCTCCAATTGGGCATGGTGAGTAGTTGATCTATAGTCCAATTCAGAACCAATGTCAAGATGACAGATATAACATGATAATT